AAAAAAAAAAAACTCGTCCTACTAATTGGAACTTATTTCAATACAAAGAGCTTATAAGTTAACTAAATAAATTATAAGTTAACTTATTTGTCTACCAAACGTGCTATGGTCAGATTTGCTGGCTAAATTGTCATTCATATAAGGTACAATTCTTGATGGCCCAAGTAAACTTGCAGTAATTTCTATTGGACCCCGAAGATTTCAATCTTCTTTTTCCTGATATAATAAAGATTCCCAAACCTCATTTTCTACGAAGATAAGATAAAATGCATCCGTAATTTTGACAAAGTTTCATCATAACCTCAATCAACGACAAACTCATATAGTAACCGAAGGCTAGTCAAAAAGCACGTCCATATCATATTTTTCTCAAAGATATTTATCTGTCTCAATTTTTATTAGATAACATATACTTACTGGCGGGCCTCCCATAGGTGATCCTTAACCAACCCACCAAAAACTGCCGGATCCATCGAACCGGCCCTGTAAAGCCACGGTGTCGGTTCTCGAAACTGGCAACATACCGGCCGGTTGCGGGCCAAGTTAAACCAAAAAGAAAACTATTCAAAGTCTCACCAACTCAAACAAAGTCCAAATAACCATGGGTTTTCTCAGTATATACAACACATGACACCTTCCTAAAGAAGGCCATTCAACAACTTTATTTATCTAACACTACCCATTTTTCTTCTAAACAGAAACAAAAAGAAGAAAAAAAAAAATCCCAAAGAAATAAAAGATACTCAGGCATTCCATTCTCAGCTGCCTTCAAAGAATATTTACACAATCACTACCCCTTTCTAGAAGCTACTCAAGCAAACCTTTCAAATCTTATACCCTTTCAAACCTATCAAACAAACCAAACACAACAGGTAAACAAACATCGCACACTACCCAAACACACCCTTCAAAACTTGCAGGAAGTCCCGAGCCGCTGCCTCTGCCTCTGACCGAAGCTAGCAGACTTCCTCTTGTCAAAAGCTGGCCCGAGCAGCTCGACAAACTTCTCGAGAAAAAGGGCCCACTCGTCCTCACTCATATCCGCTAGCTTAACAAAACTCACGCTCACAGGGAGCTGCTCATTTGCACTCCTATGGCCAGACGATGAGTTGGCAAGATATCCATTGTCTGCCTTTGCACCCGAAAATTTTCCCAATTTCTGGGTTTTGTCAGATAAGCTAGTATTATTGAGAGAAACAGAGAGTTTTGAAACTGCGATCGGGCGCTTAACTACAGTTCGAGTGCTAGTCAGCCCATTTTGTTCCTCATCTGCTAATTCACTATCATCATCTTCCTCAACAGTCTCCTCTAGTCTAGAGAGTAGAGTTCGTCCGTTGAAACTCCCGAATCCAAAATGGAAGGGCATAGATGTAAAAGACTCGTCAGATATCAACTTCATAGTCGACTCATACCCATTATTATCCTCACAGTCTATGTCAAACTGAAAACTCTCATCAAGATCGGCTCCAACCTTAGTAGTAGGAGATAAAATCTCCTCAGCAGCAAGCCTTTGGGCCTCGATCGATATAACCTCGAGTTCACTCGGTTCCTCCTCACCGCTCCTAAACTCCCGGCTCATCATCTCCCCAATCTCGGCAAGACAAAGCCCATTAGCCGCTGCTTCTTTCAGAAAAACCGTGCAAAGGAGGGGACTTCAAAAGAACTCGAACTGCTATGACAGACTATGAGTTGAGGAAAAGAGTTGGAAGTTAACTTACTCAGTTGAAGCCTGCCATAGTTTTCCTTGAAATTAACTAGAGTCGTC